CGGCCTGGGGGGCTGGCAGGGGAAGACTCCTGAGGCGGAGACTGGCCTGGGGGCGGGAGTGGGGGGGACACAGTGCGGGGAGCAGGCAAGGGCAGGAGCAGCCCTCGGCCACCAGGAAGCTCGGACCACCCTCTGAGGACAGGCTGCCCCTCAGGACCTTGGTTCCCTGCTTCCCGCTCAGGGGGGTGGGCTGCCCTGGGAGGGGTCACCTGGGGAGGGCCTCCCACCCTCCCTGCTCCCAGCACTGGGGGGAGTACATCAGCCCTGCAGGAGGGGTGGGGTGGCTGAACCTCCACCAACTGCCTGACCCAGGGTGTGCAGCATTTGCAAGAGCTGGAACCCTCGCCTGCCTGCTGACTTCACAGTGGAAAGTAGCAAACCCGCCTGCCGGCTCCTCAGTTCAACCATCGGAACGTGCCAGGGGTGCTGGGGCTCCGTGTCCATCCTTCCCGTGGCCACCACAGGTCACTTCCGCAGGGCACCCTGTCTCAGCCCCTTACTCAGGAAGCTCGGTTCTCACTGCCTGAGGCAGCCACGGCCTTGGGCTGCCAGACCCAACCCTGCCTGCACCCCTGCCCTGGGTCTGCTGGGACCTGGTGGGAGAGGCAAATGGGAATGAGATGCTGGGACCTGGGAGAGGATGTCCCAGAGGCCTGGAGCTCCAAAGAGGCCACCAGGCCCCTGGCAGACAATGAGCAGGGCCTGGGTGTGACCTCCTCTAGGTGCTGGGTCCTTCCTTGCCACGGGCTCATGTGGGAACAGGCTCTATGGATGGATAGTGTGCGCAGGTCTGCCTGGCCCAGGAGCCCTGATCGTGAGCAAGCAGGGACGGTGGCCACCCTGCCTGAAACTGGGGCAAACCCTGGCCTCTGCCTGGGTCCTGCACCCACCACCTGGGGACCATGTCCCCTTCCGCCCTCCCTTTCCCCTTACAATCCAGGACAAAACAGAAAAGTGGGGTCCAGAAGTTTTGTGGGTTTTTTTAATTTTTTTTTATTATTAGTTAAGGTGTTACAAATGTAACAGAGATTCATTTTGATTCACTACTGGGAAGAACATTTGATACTTAACTGACATAGCTACACATGAGGAAAAACTTTCATCTA